TCTGGCTCTAACAGTATATTGTTCCAAGGATAGAGGAAGAATAGGTGAACAATTAACTGTGGTTGCTGGCATCTGGACGATTGAACTTGCACCGCCGTGTCACCGTTAATTGTGAAATTTCTGGTTCCCTGTATATGAAATATACATCGACATCTGAAGTCGAGATACGAGTCCCGGCACATAAACAATTGCACCGAGATTTCCTGACCCAAAATTTGTATTCAATGTATGACAATTTTGTTGGGTATGACCAAGGTAGTGCTGCAAACCTTTTTTCCATGCTATACTGAAATCATGACAGATGCAAAATGGTGCCTAGGGAGCGTGTTTTATTGTGCATGGAAATTCTGCACCCCCATGAGGGGCAGCACGAGTGTGGTCAGTGAAGACGACTGCTGGCTATCTGCAGCTGCTTGTCCCTCCACAGCCTGCAAACAAAGTACACGAAAAGGGTGAATGTTTATAAAAACAAGCATTTTTAAAGACTATGTTACAGAAATTACATAGAACAAGAGAATCCCAGGGGTGTGGTGAGCAGTAGTGTATGGCATACCACTGCTTTTATCTTCTTTTTTGGAACTCTTATGCAGTGCTGGAAATATCAAGAATGCGAGACTCCTGAAAGACATTTTGTTTATGCGGGCACCTTCCTAACCAAGGAACTGCTCAGACCAGCAAGCTCATGCTGTGGGTCTTCCAGTACAACGCGCAACCTATGAAGCAAGCAGCCTTGAGCAATGTGCACCTAGCATGATTCAATTACTTTGCAGCAGACAGGCCTGCTCTGTCCATCACATGAAAAATGGAAAGCGAAAAGTTGGAAATCACTCACTTCGAAACACAACACAAGGTCCGAAAATGAAAAGGAGCGAAAACAGAACTCCTGCACTCACTTTCCTTTATGCTATAACTGTCTGTCATAACTGATTCCCAGTGACAAGTTAACTGTTGTTCCCGTCAATGTTTTTGGTGCTGTGGAAGTCCAGCTCTTCTGCATTGCATTGAGCAAACAACAAAAACTGTGAGCCCAAGCTGCTCTGGGTGTAACTCAATAAAGCAAGGACGAAGAAACTTGGCCTGGAATAATTCATTAGTGCCATATGACAGGTTTTCTTTCGACGGTTCTCCAAACAATGCTTGCCAGCCAATTTTAGATCTTGACTGCACTTCTCTACATCTAGGGCACTCATGCTGTAATGTTGGGTGCCCAGCAGCATGTGCAATGCAGCCAGCTGCTCCCGCTGAGTGGGCGAGAGGTCCTAAACAGTGCAGCTGGGGGCAGTTCAGGCCCTCACCATCCAGTGTGGCAGTGTACAGCTGCAGCTGAAAAAGATTAGCACAAGTGACCTATGACCGGAGTAGCAAAGTTGCGACAGGCAGCGCTAATGTTCCCGAGCGCGCCGATAGCAAGTGCCAGTCATGTTCCATGTCTCAACGTTGGTGGCTGCCAGAAAATTGAGGGATAAGATAGCTTTCGGAATGCAAGCTTTAGGATGGGCTGCTTTGTGCCGCCCACCACCGTGTGTCGCGATTTTGCTGCTCCGGTTGTTGGTCGCTTGTGCTTATCTTTTTCCGCTGCAGCTCTACCTGATGACTGGTGCACAGCTGACATGACACAGTTTCAGTAGCATGCATAAATGGTTTGCAGGTAATGTCATGTCAGTATAAAAGACAAGACCTTTGAGTACTTCCAAGGGCACCGTGTTGGTGACCACAACTTGGTACATGTCAGATGTGGTTAATGGCAGAGGCTGCTCATATTGCCATGCACGTCTCCGAGCAAGCTTGCCCGTGGCCGAATGGTTATTGTGCTTAGCTTGCACACAAAGGGCTGAAATATGATGCCTGGCTGCACATGCACCTTTTTGTTTTTTCTGTAAATGTTGCATTCTGGTTTAATTCAAGAATCCCATTGCTTGTTCAAAGTCAGAATGTTCTACGCACCGAACTTTCTATGCCGATTGTTCCAGAAGTCCACGCATATACATGAGGGGCTCTGCGTGGCGATAAAGAGAGAGTCTCGCTCTTGCGCTCGATCGTGCTACTCCGCCAACCTTCGATGCCTGTGATGCTACCTCTTTGTATTTTTGTTTTTGGCACAAGTTTGCCAAATTAATCGTTTAGTTTCTGTTCATTCGTCACCTGACCATCTGTCATTCGCGAAATTTTGGTGGATGTGTGGGACATTAACAAAAAGGTGCATGCGCGGCCAGAAATCGAACCTTGGCCCTTTGTGTGGGAACCACGTACGAGAACCATTCGGCCACGGGCGCACTTGCTCGGAGATGTGGGAGGAGATATGTGCTAGTGCAGGCACTTGGGCTAAGCCTAGGCAGAAGTTTAAACCGTCAAGTGATGATGACAAAGTTTGTCCGTGTTTGTCCAGTTCAGTACGCAGAAAATATTGCTCTGTGTGGTGGCGAGAACCATCTGCTACTTACTCTCAACAGTGACAGATTGTGATATCTAGCCAGAGGTGGAGGACGTGAATACCTGAGTGCAAAAAATGAAGAGAAGTATACGAAACTGCACGCCGATGATTTTGCCGAGTTCGACAGGCAATGCCCAGCCAGGTGCGTCCTGCTTCCACAGCCCTTTGCAGCAAATAATTTTAGAAGTGGACCTTTTATATAAATAGCAGACACCGGTTTTGGAATTGGTGAGCCAGTTTTGTCTTAGTGTCATTTCCTTGTCAATTTCAGGGCAGTCGGTAGATGTGGTGATGCCGGGAATGTTCGGTGGAAGCAGGTCACTGTTGGGAAACAGGACCGGAGGCACCGTCTTTTTCCTGACACAGTCTCATTAATTGGATCTGTGTCTTGTCCGACACAAAACTCAAGTAACCATGAGTGGATTGTCTCTGCACCATGTGTACACTTAAGTTTTTGTAAGTCTTGCTGAGGTGTCACCTTGCTAGAAACATCAACACGGTTGGACCTACAGTCACCTTGGGAGCTACCGACCAGGCACAATATGTTAATGACAGCATCTTCTACATAGTTATGCACAGTGCAGGTCATGTTCACATTTTTGTGCAATTGCTGAGATGGGTACAAAAGCTGTCACTTTGGGCCACTGGAGCCAGCGCAGTTCACCATGATCACAAAGCTGCAACCCCACAACATCAATGGCCACCAGCATGAGGCTACCGACGGCACTCATGCATAATACATGTCCTGACACAGGCGCAAACTACGTATTATGGAGATGAATCCAGACTGTTTTTTATACCTACCATTTGGTGGTGGTGGAGCTGCCATCTGTGCTGGGTCCTCACTAGCACCTTTGGCCACAGCAGATGAGTCCTGCATCATTCAATCAAACACAAGTTAACGCACAACAAATTGGCAGCCTTTCTGGTTCCGCGTTGATGTAATGCCCAATTGCCTACACTTTAGAATTCAGGTATCGGAGTGCCTCATGCACAGCTCTAGAGAAATTAACTCGTCAGCTTGAGCGCTACGATCCGAGCTTTCAAAGAAACATCACGAGGCAGCACACTCGTGCAAAGCCAATAAGACCAAAAACAACACAGTGTCTGTTTACTACAAGTAGCAAGTTTTAGGAGACCGTTACCGCGTTCTGCGGTGGCCACGGTACGGCTGGTAAGGCTTTAAGCGCGCCAAAAAGCATGCTTCAAAGTTACAGCGCGAGCTCCCAGTAGCAATTTCGCTGCGCACGGCAACGGTACGCTAAAACCGCCCATTGAGATGCCATGCACTTACTTACCGACACTGCAGCCGAGATGCCGAGTGGCGACGGACGAGGCGCGTCCGCCCTCGAAATCATGCGCCTTCTTCCGTGTCTTAGCGAGGAACCTTTCTCATATGGGCCAAGATTCTGTCCTACTCCTCGAGTTCAGCGAGGACACTTGGTTCACGTCCCCCACCAGACTGCCGAGTGGTAATCGCGACGTGAAAAAGCCCGACTTGACAGCAAAAATTCCAAAAGTGAGGCAAATCTTCGTACAGACACACGAGCACCTTTCGTGCGACATCCACCGTCGGCCATGACGATTCATCACGATCGCGATACAGCTTACGCATTGCGATCATCTAAATTGTTTCACTTACGTAAAAAGACATGATTCATGCGGCCTAGACTTGACACCGGTAATTATATTTAGATTGTACCGCATTATATATTTTCAGAAGTTAAAAATGTTGCTTTTACAAGAACCTTCGATGCGGCGTTGCGCATTTCCCTCTAGGGACATATTTTGGGGACAAATCCCGATGAAGTTTCAACTCAATCGCCACTCTCCGTCGACGTCATCAACGCGCCGCGATGAAGTTCCCTGCCAGTTGAGTTCGCCGCCGATTGAGATTAGGCTCCGCCCACCGGCGACGTCACGATGAAGTTTCTTCATCGCTTTTTCCAGCATAGACAGACTGGAAGCGACTCTCCGGAACCGGTCGCTTTTGTGACTCAACAAAAAGCTGTCGCGCGACGGTTGCGGCTTGCAAGTGTGAACGCGCCTAAACCCATAAAAAGAAAAAAAAAAAAAAACTTTTTTCAACAGTCTGCATGGGACACGCGTGTTAAAAAAGTAATTTTCCGCGAAAAAAAAATTAGAGCGATTTAGTTGGCAGTCACCTCCTTTCCACTTGTTTTCTCTCTCGGCATTTCGGGCTCGTGGAGGAGAGGTGGATCCGTTTCACCTTCAGGTTGAGGTGGAAAGAGCGAATGCCCGAGATGGTCATTCCGGGATGACCCGTGACGTCATGGACTTTGCGCGCAGAATTTCAAATAAATCTATCGCCGTCAATATTGCCTTAAATTTTGTTTTTTCGCGTAAAATTTATTTCTCCAGACGCGTGTCCCAACCAGACTGTTTAAAAACCTTTAAAATGCTTTCCTTAGTAAAGTATTTGCGTTCACCCTGAGCAAACCGTTTGGGAGATGAGATGTTTTGCCTCGCAAACAAACCACACCTGTATACGCTGTATCACTAGAAGGGTCTAAACACATCAACAAAATCCACATGAAAAGCTGCTCACCCATAAGGACCACTCCAAATGCCACAGCGACAACCATCGTCAGGATGAACACGAACAGAATGTGTATGGTGCCGATTCCTCTGCCGAAGCTGGAGGAAACATTCGGGACATAACAATCAGTCATGCTGTTGTACAGGCTCTTGAAATGCACCAAACTATGGTTTCCGATTAAATTCCGAGGACAAAAATGGATCAGAGTTGGTAACACGACCTGAGACTGGTGCGGAAAAATTAAGAAACTTGTCGAGGGAAAAGACAACAGTAGGAGAACGTCTCAAACTCAGCTAATTTCTTATATTTTTCTATACACTCTGTGAACACAACATATCCTTGATGACAAAGGGTGGTTAATGTCGACACCCTCTCTGCGAGGGTATAGGGGTATAGTAACTTATATATATTTACTATATGCGATACTAGAGTGGTAAAGCGTGAAGCGATAGAAGGCAAGCTGTATGCATAAGCATAAGTATGGCATAACGCTGCGTCAAATAAAAATGAGAAGTAAACCTGCTTAATATTGGAATCGCAATCGCATTTACTTACTCTTCTGGTGGAGATAAAAATAGAAAATTATATTTCTAACAGCACATATCTATACTGGTTTTCACGCCAAACGTCTAACGCCAAAAGCATCACTCCCTCCGACAATCAAATATTTTAAGAACTAAGTACTTTGTGCGGCGTATAAACAATGCGCAAAACTTTTTTTTTTCTTTTGCTTTTTTTTTTTTCTTCTGGAGGTGAGAACGAGTATATTTGTGTGTAAATGCGGGATGATGTAATATGCAATGTTTTGTTACCGTCTTCATCATTTGGTGACATCTCATTATTGAACACACCTGCGGGAAGAACATACATGTTATTACGGCTGTTTTGGTCCCCAGTTCGGTTTAAGTTCTCTAAGGGGACCCTTCGATCATTTGTGACTTTATTCGGTCGTGCGTGCACCAGACGGTGGTGTAGGCAGCTGCTATGGAAACCGAAGTGTGGTTAACCAAAAAGCGGCCACCAGGGGTTTACGCGAGATTCCCAATCACCGGCGTGCACTGTTTTTTCTCGCTACCAACTTTCCGCTTTACAGCGGAGCTGTTAAGGGCTAGGTTCCCCAGGATTGTGTCCGTGTATGTCGACACAAATTTACCTGGACAGCTACCGCCATCTATAAGCGACGGCGGCACAGAACCAGTATGGTTTCCGCCGTCGCTCGTAGATGGCGGAAACCCTGTCCAGGTATAATAGAAGAATTGATACTTGAGCACGTTGGTGGGAATTCATCGTAGGAAACAGCGCGAGAAACAGACGGCGGCGAAGAAGAAGCACACAATGTATCGAGCACAGCTCCGCTGGTCTTCCTTCACAAAAGTAAATAGCATGAATGATTTTTTTTTTTTTTTAAGTTAGAACTTTGAAAGACCTGCAACGCTGGAAACTGCAGCTAAATGTTAGTTTAAAAAGATATATATATTGCAGGCTTTTTCTTTTCCAAAAGCGCGCGACAAAAGAAATGAACACCCGTCGTGCTCGATGAACATGAAGAAGTTATTCCGTTATTCTATGCAAGCCATGCAGCTAAACTAAACCTTTCTTACTACAAAAACCTGGTGGAAGTCGTTTTTTGTATTAAAAAAGGCAGAAAAACAAAGTATGTGATTACCTCGTTTTGGCGTTCGTTCTATATTCTGGGTTTTCTGCATTGCAGTGACAACAGAATTGATCGCGCCACTTGCAAGATTTACTAATTAAGAGAACAAGCACCAGGGGAACTCATTTTTTGATTATTATTTACGATAACCGAATAAAAAAAATTGCGGTGGCTTAGCTCGGCTATGCCAGGATACACGTAGCGTGAGCTTATGCGCACAAAAAGAGAGGCGCTATCAAGCGGCTCCGGTGCAGCGTCAGACTTGGCTACTGCGCAACGGAGGCGCACAGCTGGCACGCGGCGGCGCCAGTGCGTCTGCCGCGGCTATGACGTCACTCCTCTGGAATGCGCAGACCGGCGAGGCAAGCGCGGCGGCGGCGGAGTGCGCGGCGGCGGCGGCTCCGGCGCGCCAGCTGTGCGCCGTGTGACGTCGCTGCTCCTTGCGCATGCGCAGACCGGCGAGGCGCGCGCGGCGGTGGTGGAGCGCGCGGCGGCGGCGGCTCCGGCGCGCCAGCTGTGCGCCGTGTGACGTCACTGCTCCCGGCGCTTGCGCAGCACGGCTCTTTGGGAGCAACGCGAAACTGCTCGACCTCGGCCATGGAGCTCACGCTACAAAAATTTGACAGTTTATAGCGATTAATATCATCGTTATAAAGCTGGTGTAAGTTTTGATATAACTTTTTTTTTATGTTGTGGACGCCATGCACATTCTGAAGAAAAAACAAACATGTTTTGCGCACACGTGGGGCATGGCGACACGTTTAAAAGGGCCTGGTAAAATAAGCTAATTCGCTCCTTTTAAACAACTGAGTGTAATTAAAACAAAAATAATGTATGCAAGCCCTATTTTATCTTAAAATAATTGAAAATCGCAAAAATGCTATTTTCAAAGAGCTAACAAAAATATTTGAAACTTTTTATACATAAAATATATACATTCTAAGTCTAACTAAAGCCAGATAGCTGCATTCTACATAATCTACAGCATAGGCATGCCAAATTGGGTTGTGATAAAACAATGTTAAGAACACAAATTCTTGTATGGAAACTGTGTTCGGATGTTACCACAGATATGTAGCGACTCTTTCGCGGCGAGAAAACTTTCTTTTTCATACTTTTTTTGTGGGAAATTGAAGCTACAGAATGCTGCGATGAAGAGGAGATGGCTAGGCCTACTTAACATAAATGTGATGGTGGGTGGCACCACAATTTGCAGAACCGCGCAAACAGTAATGCCTCAAATGGTTGCCGTTCTGGGTTGCCAGTTCTTCAAATGCTTATTCGACTAATTTTGCAATCCTAACCGTTCCTTATTATTTTATTCATAAAATATGAAGATCCAAAGATAATAAAACACTAATAAGGTGGTGAACTGGGCCAGTTGGTTGACGTTATACATGATGGTGAAAACAGCTCAGAAAACACTGGCTACGAAGAAGAAAAAACACGACAGGACAGCATTGTCCGGTCGTGTTTGTTCTTTGTAGTTCGTGTTTTCTGAGCTGTTTTCCCCATCATGTATAACAAAACACGATAAAACCCAAAGTCGCTTTTTTTTTTTTCAAAATAGGTTTAATTGTACATGAGAACTGACTCACAACTTCTCTGGCCGCGCAGTGCAATATGGGCAATGGGTCAAACTTGACGTGGGATACCTCCCCCACCCCCCCCACACACACACGCACAAAAAAAAAGAAAAAAAAAACACAAAAGAACTCGTAAGGTTTAAGATCATTGAGTTCAGAGTCTATTCACATGCAAATAATTGCCGCGCGCGTAGCATATATAACTTCGAGAGAGGGAGAAAAAGTGAACTGTCACAAAGGAATGAAACTACATGGGGCCCTCCCCAGTGTCGCGGCATATATCATCCACTATATGAATACTTGCCATCGCCTCTGTCCACTGTATACATAGTTTCTTCCTTCGGCCTAACTGGAACGAGTGAAATCAAGAAAATATAGTTCGGCCGTTACGCATCTCGACGTAACGCGTGGTCAAACGCAGTCAGATGTTACCGTGTGAAGGGACCCTATAACGTCCCGAAATAGGACTGCAAGGAGACAGACTTCTGTGCTTCAAGCTTGCTAAGCTGTCTGCTGGAATGTATCTTTTTTGAGAAATGTGCCGTGTACGCCCTCCGCGGCACCGAAAAAGATTGCTGAGAACGTTCTACATGTATATAGAACCGGTTGTAGCACACAACGGAGGTGACCCTGGCAGCGACGGAGGAAACGCAGAGGTACGAGCAAAGCAAACGCGAAAAGCCGTATAGGGCTGAATTTTCCACCTCCCCTTCTGGAAATCGCGTTCACTCATTCAAAACTTGAGTCCCAGACGGACGTTAGAACAGCATTCGAGCCCAATATCTAACCAGCGCTGGCTCTCTCACTCTTGCAAAAAAGGGCATGTATAATCCTCCCTAAAGGGAGGAACGGTCTTATAACCTATGTTCCTCTAGAAAGAGAGAAACTTTCGTCCCTGAAGCAGGGGAGCAAAGTTCCTCCGTCGGAGAAACTTTGCTCTCCTGCTTCGGGAGGGCGGAAGCTTTCTCCCGTCTGCCTGGAGAAGGAGAAAAATGTCTCGTTCCTCCCTTCTTCTCGTGTCCGCTTGGGGGCGCGTCAGTAGAAGGGAGGAAAATGCGCCGTTGCTACCTTTTTCCTCCATTTTTTCCTTAGAGTGCAGTGGGTGACTCTAAAAAAGATCAGCGCTATGCTTTGTTGGCGAGGGCACGCACACAATTGCAACGCCCTCCATCTCGCTCCCACCTAACTGCGTACATTCAGGGGGAGCCCAGACTGAGGCACCCTGCTCATATTCTTTGAACTCAATAACGTTTTATCTCTCTCTCCCTCTCGTTTTATCCAGTGTCACTGCTTCGGGTGCAAGGAGGAGCATGCAGGACGTTCCCATAATTCGCTCCGCGAAGCGCGCGGTCTTCTGGGATTTTTGCGAAACAAAAAAGGTTTGCTTCATTCGAAGCACGAATAGGGTGGCTGAAGGGGGAGGTGCGCTCAGTGCCTGCATCGATTCAATCTAGATCCAGGACGGAAGTAGATGGCGCAGTCATCTAATCTGATTTAAAATTTCTGCCTAATCGCGCGCCTTTTGCCGCGCCGCCGGATATGCTGGGATCATCTGGTATTGATAACGATCAGCAGAGTTCTGGGTGTCGTGGCGGGTGTCGGGGTGTGTTGCGCGACGGCGAAAACGATCTAGGAAATCTCCCTAATAAATATGAGAGTAAAGCAGTGCGACTGAAGGACTACCCAAACGACCTGTCACATGGTGCTGTCTACAGCGCTCTTCTAAAAAAAATATGAGGCCTTCATAAAATCTTGAAGTGTCTCGACTAATAACGTTGATGTGCCCCTCCAGGCAATTCTCCTCGCTCTGTGCCTCCAGGTATCTTCACCCCATTTGACTGCTCTCCACCCCCATTCACTTTCCCCGGTAAATTTAGCGGGAAAACTGAATTTGTGTATCGGTCACGTGACATGAAGTCATGCGCCATCATTTTCCCCGCTAAACTTCGCGGGGGAAGCTGAATTGGCGTTTAGGTCACGTGTCGTCAATTTTCCCGCTAAATCTAGCGGGGAAACTGAATTTGTGTATTGCTCACGTGACACGGTCATGTGACATAATTTTTCCCGCTAAATTTAGCGTGGAAAATGAATTGGTGTTTGAGATCGTGTGACGTCAATTTTCCCGCGAAATCTAGCGGGGAAATAAGGGGGTTTGTTTTCCAGGTTTGTAGACGGGCTTCGTCTTTTGGGTGTAGAGAAGAAAAAAGTGTACCTGTGAGGTTAGGTGGCCGGGCTCTCACCCTGGCGCAAAGCGGGGCAATGAATCCGCCATTTCAGACGTCCTTCATCAGCACGCTGTAACCCTTATAAACATGTGTTTGTACAAAACCTTTGGTATAGTTTTCCTCGTATTTCACTTTGGTACTGAATGGGCCAAAACAAACACCACCTAGGCTTCGTCAGCGTTTAAATAGCGAGCAAACAATCTCCCTCCGAGATTCGATGATATCGTTCGAGAATGTTTAGGGGTAACTTAGACAGTGCGGCCTGATTCTTAACCCGAGATCTGTAATGTGCTCCACGCTGCTGTGATTACACGACCGCACACCTCTGCGATGCTATCGTCCATGTCAAAACAAGTAGGGGCGCGGCTCAGGTAGATGGTCGAC